TCCCTTCCGACCCTTAATCTATGAAACTATGAAACTATTCAAAAGTCTTCAAAACATTTGACAGAGTTTTGTCTGGGATTTATATGAGCACAATTAGAGTTCTTACCTGACCTGCAGACCAGCATCCCTAAGGGATTTGGCTGTTCCTCCAGAGGCAACTAATCCCAAACCAAGAGAACCAAGACATTTTGCAAATTCTACTAGGCCGGTCTTGTCCGAGACACTGAAGAGGGCTGGAAAGGGAGAAAAACATGAAAATTCCAGTAGTGTAAAAGTAATGTTGTAGCCATGGTGGTCCAGAAATGATGTGGGGGGGTGAAGGTTTCTTAAGACGATATCTTTTATTGGATCAATGATGTAGCTGGGATCAAGATAGATAAGCTTTTGGATTTAAGACTTTCTTCCTCGGGTCTCAAATTCTGGTACACACAGATGGCTGTTTCTTTGGAAGCTGCATATACACAACTAACCACATGAGATTTTCCCGTTTACTTAAAACTACAAAAAAAATCAGTGCTGTAGAAATCAAGGTATTCAGATTTCCTGAACCTCCTGCCTTGGAAATATGTTACTAAAGAATCTAACATTGGGAATGGACACACAGCATGGTTGCTACAGTATAATTTATCCTGGATTTTACTTAGCAGTAAAATACAACCAGCTTTCCCAAGCCATCTGTCTGCAGCAGGCGTTATTAGAACACCTGGTCACCAAGGAGTGGGGGAGTTGGTTTGCACTGAACAAAGGGCTCTCTGGAGTGAAAGTAGAAAGCAGACACAAGATGGCACACTGATGTAACTTACACCTGTATATAGTTAATCTTGACTTTCCTAGGAATATTTTTACCGCACGGTAGAGTGGCTTACCCTGACTACACATCATATCTTTACTTCATTTCTACCCTAGAATAACGCCAAAATACTCTGGAGTAATTGTTTTGTGTGTCTGCATTCAGTAGCATTAAATACCAGCCTACACTTCCGGGCCATTGTGTTTCCTACCAACGTGCTGGACTGCAACTCAGGAGACACAGGTTCTACTCCCAGTTCTATGACTAGTCTGCAAGGTGAACTTTGGCAAAATATATTGGTCTGTCCCACAGTTCCTTTATCTGCAAAATCCTGTTCCTTTGCAATGCCCACCATACCACAGCACAACAAATAGGCCCGCCCCTTTGCAGCATCCTTTGAAATGAGTCATCTTCTTCTTCTCACATCCCTGTCATAAACTTTGAAATGAGTTAATAAATTACATGAGGGCTAGATAATAAAGGAGAGCAGCATTTGAATACCCATCAGGAAAATCAGCGTTATTAAATCTGGTTGGAGACTGAGTGTCCAGATCCCATAGGCCAGGGATGCCCAAATCATCTAGCCCTGCAAGCGTGATCATTAGGCTGTGTCATCTGACCTGCAGGTCTGGAAATCTGGTGGTAGAACAAGCGGCAGCAGTGTTAATTGCCATTGCTTCAGGAGGTGGAGTGATTCACATGGCTACAGCTCCCCTGCTGCCTAATTTCTGAGCCTGTGGGGTGCCCTGCAGGCTGGAGGACATGCGTCCATGGGTCACATCTGGCCTGTGGGCCTTATCCTGGTCACCTCTGCCATGGGCAATTCTGAAGAGCTCAAGCAGAATATTTTTCACTTAGGTCAGCAACAAAAGTATTTGTTTCAGCAATGGTAACCTAAGTAGCAAAGAAGAGAAATTCCCTTCATTGTAGGAATTACTGAGAAAAAAGTCTATGGCCTATGCTGTGCAGGAGGTCACACTAAATGATTACAATCATTCTCTCTAGCATTTCTAATATAGAAATCTATTAGTTTCACTCCAGAGTTTCTGGCTTCTCTCTTCTGCTGTAATTTAAACCTTTATATAACCAGGTCTGACATTTTAACCAAGGAAAACCAAGCTTTGCTTCCATGGTCTGCAAGGATTTAACAAATACCTCACAACAGTGATCTCTATTTACTGATAAACTTACCAAGAGGTAAATGTGGAGTGATACCAATGTGGGGTGTTCTTACCTACCCTCCCCAACAATGCAGCCTAATGGCCCCAACCAACCCTAGTTCACAGATCCAGAAAACCAACATAGTAAGTTACGCTTGTAAACAAAAACTCGTAAACATAACTTTATGCATATCAAATTTACAGGCACAAGAATCTGCAAGACTGGAGCCTTTACTTGCCCACAGTAAGAAAGGAAGTGACTACTGTCTTGCTAGCTAGATTCATCAAACTGTAACAGGGCCATGCACAGATAAAACCAATGCTCATTGGTGCTCGCCTTGCTCTGTTGTTCGATATGTGACGCACCTTGATACGTAAAGAAACTGATAGCTAGCTTCAGTTTATGCTGGGCAACCAAAAGCCAAGACATTTAAGTGACTTGATTTTCCCAGCCAACCAGTGTCAGAAATAAAGCACCCAGGAAGGCTCTAACATCATCCCACCTGCTCTTACAGTACCGGTTTTAACCAAGGCCACTCATAGTTGAAGATGCCCAGGGAGAACCCTGCACCCACAAACAAAACCGACTGTGGCACATAGGCTTGCAACCCTTCCAAGGGCTCAGAAGAAAATCAGTGAACAAGTAATAAGGGGCGTGAAGGCAGAAAATGAGTGGGTTGTTATTTGCTGCTTTGAAGGTGATATCATCTGTCATGTGCCTGCATAAAGAATGGGATCTATTTATCTTTATTCCTTCACCTTCTGAGCCATGTCTACTTCCATGTCTGACAAACTAACTTTTTAAAACTACTGCTCACCCAACCAGCCATGCAGAGCAGGCTGGATTCTGCCATGGTCTTATCTTGACACCACAATTATTAACTAAAGCCCTGATGTTGCAATGAGCTTGCACAGACAGAATCGGGGCCTGCTATCTGGCTGCAATGCACTCTTACAGGTGTTGCTGAAAGGGCCGGAGCAAACCACAGCCTGATGGTCAGATCCCAGGCTGTGACTGCAAGCGCAGCCCATGGAAAAGGCCCACTTTTGTGAAGCAAGGGGCTTTGAGACAGAGCTCAGAAGCACCCCTTTGAACAACAGCATTTGAGAAGATGGGCTGAGCCAGGGCAGTCCAGATCATGAGCACTTGGGTGTAAAATGCAACTTATAGCAGACCCCTACACACACCCTCATGACAAGGCGCCATTCCTCCAACAAGCTGCATCGACACAGGCTGCGCTGACTTTCAAGGAGGCTTGATTCCCAACACACTGCTCCTGAAAAATCCCACCTTAGTACGAGGCTCAAAACGTGTCACCGCCACCTGCATCAGGCACTGCATAAATACATGCTAAGATCCAGTCTCTGCTCCAAACAGCTGCACGACATGGTATAAAAACACAGTCAAAAGAAGACGTCTTTGTTCCCCCCCATCAAGAAATCAACTGGCAAACTCCTCAGGATTCAGCGCCCCTCTGGTTATAGGCGGCTTTTATCCGGCTCCCATCTGCAGTTTGCAAGTTGTTTCTCAGAGCTAAACTTTGCTGGAGACTTAGGAAAGAAGGAAGTTCAGGATTGGACTGGGCAAGCTCCTGAGGCCCCTTTCAACCCCAATTCCCGTTGCTTTTCTCTTCCTTCCACTCAGGACTGGTCGGAAGCAGGGCACGGGGCCCGGCTGCCTGCAAATGAAGCCCAGCCCCTGCTGTTTTATGTTCAGGGTATCTCATACTCCCATAGTTGATTTATTTTGTGGCCTCTCCATGCTCAGGGGGGAAAGAAAGCCGGGGGGGGGGCATTGTCCCGAGTTCCCAGCACTCACCCGTCCCCTTCAGCCCACCCATCCCACAGGGACATCACGTACGGTCCGGGATTCTCCTTGGAGCCCACCTGGGAGGCTGCATCAAGCATCCCCTCCGCCCCCCAACTAAGTTTTCCGGCAGAGCCAGGCGCGCGCCCGGCCGTGCGGTGAGGTTGGGAGCCGGGGCCCGCGGGGGGAGCATTACCCAGCTCCTGCCCTGTAGCCATGGTGTGCGGCGGCCCGATCCCTGCTGCCGCCGCTGCTGTGCCCGGGGAGAAGGGAGAGGGGGCGGGGGGCCACGCAGGGAGCTGCACACATACCCGGGGCACCACGTGGGGGGCGGCTCTGGGGGCCGGGGGAGGGGCTGGGCGAGCATGCTGGGAGCTGGGCGAGCAGGCGGTCCCCACCCCACCCCCGGCCTGGCGCTGAGTGGCTGCGACTTTGGAGCTAGGGGCGGCTCAGCAAAGGGCAAGGGGGAGGGGGGGCGAGGAGTTGTAAAGGCAAAGCCGGGAGCGGGCGGGCTTTTCTCTAGTTATTGTTGCAGCTGAGGAGAGAAAGCCCCTCCCTTCCCCCCGTGGCAGATCGCTGGCTACTCCTAGTCGTTTGGCGGGCACCAGAGGCCCAGGAGCGGAGCGGAGCAGCTGCCAGGTGTCGTAAGCCTGAGGCTCGCAGGCAGCTGCCACGCGTGCGTGAGGCAGTCCCCGCAGCCGCGGCAAACGTTGCCCTCCACGGGTGCCCTGGCGGGGGAGCGAAGTACCCCGTTTCCTGGACTGAGTTGCTCCCTCATCGTTGTGGCTAGTAAAGGTTGGGGGTCACTGAACTAGATGATGCCTTCCACCTTATAGGCACTGTTATAGGCACTGACTAAAGGCTGTCTATCTGTCTCTCCTTTAGTGCCTATACTAGTGCCTAT